CCGGATCCATCCGGCTCCGGGGGCGGACCCACACAATCGGGTCCGCACCCTTACAGAGGGAGATGTCGCTCTCGAGCACAAACCTCACTAGGAAATGATCTGACCATGACAGGGGAGTCAAGCATAAATTCCTCACCCTCAGACCACCCTCTTCCTGCCCCGTCGAGAAAACCAGGTCCAGAGTGTGTCCACGTTCATGGGTCGGGCCGGTGACATGTTGAGACAGCCCCATGGCCGTCATGGAGGCCATGAAGTCCTGAGCCGCCCCGGTCAGACTAGCCTCGGCATGGAGATTGAAGTCCTCCAGAACCAACATCCTGGGGGTCCTCAACACCAGGTCCGAGACAGTTTCCGTCAGCTCAGGCAGGGAGACTGTTGGGCAGAAGGGTGCACGGTACACCAACAGAATCCCCAATCTGTCTCGATCGCCCAACACCAAGTAGAGACACTCCAGCCCTGGTCTCGAAGGGACAGGAAGTAAACCAAAGCGACCCCCCCTCCCCTCCCCTCCGGCCGTGAACAGTGCTGGTCCATATACCCGGGCGGGCACAATTGGGAGAGGGCAACATTCCCCCCCCTCCCACCCAGGTCTCCGTTATACAAGCCAGGTCGGCCCCCTCATCCACAATCAAGTCATGGATGAGGGTAGATTTGTTATTGGCCGACCTGGCATTAAACAACAGCACCATCAGGCCCGAGGGGCGACTGACGAGACTCCCTGGCACCTTCTGGCTGGGAGCAAAACCAGAAGTAGGGACAAGTGTCAGCCATCCGTCCCTCCTTCTTCTATGCGGACACGTTAAGCTCCCACCGCTGTAACGTCCATTGCCCATCACCACACCAATGGTGGCGCCAGTGCGCTCCCCAGGAAACTCAAGCGGCAACATGGCCAGGGACGACTCCATAAAAGCAGATTAAAACACTTTAAAATGATAAAAACATTTAAAATCGCCACTAAACAGAAGGGACTGACGCAACAAAAGTGCAAGTCCCCTGGCCCGCCCAGCCTGCCCCGAACGGCCCCCCCAAACGGTGGCGACCGCCCTTTGACCGACGCCTTTCGGCTGCCGGCCCCGGCCGCTGCCGGCTCTTTGTAGCCGCCGGCCGCCCGACGCCCCACCCCATCCGGGCACGCCTGCCACGTGTGCAGGGGCATGGCAGGGCAGTCAGGTAGCGGTGGAATCGGCGGCGCGGTGCGGTCTTCGGGCGCGGCGCGGTTCTCGGGCGCGGTCTCTCACGGCGCTGCCTGCCAGGTGTTGTTCCTCCCACCGGCGCTCCCCCCTGCGGCGCTTTGTAGCCGCCAGCCACCCGACGCCCCACCCCATCCGGGCACACCTGCCACGTGTGCAGGGGCGTGGCAGGGCAGTCAGGTAGCGGCGGAATCGGTGGCGCGGTTCTTGGGCGCGGGCGCGGTCTCTCACGGCGCTGCCTGCCAGGTGTTGTTCCTCCCGCCGGCTCTCCCCCCTGCGGCGCTTTGTAGCCGCCGGCCGCCCGACGCCCCACCCCGTCCGGGCACGCCTGCCACGTGTGCAGGGGCATGGCAGGGCAGTCAGGTAGCGGCGGAATCGGTGGCGCGGCGCGGTCTTTGGGCGCGGCGCGGTCTTCGGGCGCGGGCGCGGCGCGGTCTTCGGGCGCGGCGCAGTCTTCGGGCGCGGGCGCGGCGCGGTCTTCGGGCGCGGGCGCGGCGCGGTCTTCGGGCGCGGCGCGGTTCTCGGGCGTGGTCTCTCACGGCGCTGCCTGCCAGGTGTTGTTCCTCCTGCCAGCGCTCCCCCCTGCGGCGCTTTGTAGCCGCCGGCCGCCCGACGCCCCACCCCGTCTGGGCACGCCTGCCACGTGTGCAGGGGCGTGGCAGGTCAGTCAGGTAGCGGCGGAATCGGCGGCGAGGTCTTCGGGCGCAGGCGCGGCGCGGTTCTCGGGCGCGGCGCGGTGCGCGGGCGCGGGCGCGGTCTCTCACGGTGCTGCCTGCCAGGTGTTGTTCCTCCTGCCGGCGCTCCCCCCTGCGGCGCTTTGTAGCTGCCAGCCGCCCGACGCCCCACCCCGTCCGGGCACGCCTGCCACATGTGCAGGGGCGTGGCAGGGCAGTCAGGTAGCGGCGGAATCGGCAGCGCGGCGCGGTCTGCGGGCGCGGGCGCGGTCTCTCACGGCGCTGCCTGCCAGGTGTTGTTCCTCCCCAGGACCCTGTGGATGCCCCATATGCCCCAGGACCCTCTGGATGGATCTCGCCGTAACCGTTCCCTCTCGTCGAATTCGATGGATATGGTGAGCGAGAGTCTGCTGCCTG